GAAACAGCAGCGTTATTACCGTTACACTTCTAAACTTGCCTATGAACTCATGAGCTACCACAAGCACAGACTGGTACAAGTTCCCAGCCTCTCTCCTCCTGCTCAGCTTCCAGAACCTTCTTGTGTATCTAAGATGAAAACCCCCAGCACCCACCACCAACCTTGAAACAAAGCTTCTCTGTTAATGACTCTGTATTACCCTGATGGTGGGCGTGGTGGACCATGTCAGCACCTTGGAGAGTTCCTGCCGCTATTGGAAGGGCTGTAGATTTCCCTGAACCCGTGGGGTAAGAATTTCTGCCCCGTCATGTTTTGGCTTTGGGGTGCTGGGGATGGAACCCAGGGCTTCGGACATACTAACCAAGTGCTCTACCACCGAGCCCCAGGCACACCCCGACAAGGCTAGCAGCCTGTTTACTTGTCTTTATGGCTAGGGAACTTCTTCAAGGAAGCTGGGGTCTGGCTTGTTGAGTATCCCGAGTTCAGCACTGTGCATGGCATGTAAATACAGGGGTGAGGAGAGGATGTGCTCCCAAATGCATAAGATCTGATCCTTTGCCTCTGATCTTCCCCCCACTCTTTTCTTACCTCTCAGGGGCTGTTACCACTTATCCAGCATCCTCTGCATGACAGCCATTTAAGATTTAGTATCTCATTAATACCCCAGTGGGGGGAAGTGGCATCATCCCTCTTTAATTAAAAAAAAAACAACTGAAGTTAAGGACTTGCCTAAATGGTGTATTTAGTCAAGTGAGAGTTGAACCCGGTTTGCTTTAGTTGTTTATCATTGTGAAGTCACTCCTTATTTTTCCGATCCCAGTACCACTCCTGAGACCTAGGTCCTACCTCCTCCAAGGCAGAGACTTGTTAATTACGCCCCTAATCCATTCTTTTCATACTGACAATTTTAGTTGCTGCCTGGAGGAATCTAGAGTAAAGACCAAATTTTTTAGCCTCTTCTGCAGCTATCTGTGACAATGACATAAATAGAAACAGTGTGTGTCACTTCTGTGACGCATCCTTAAAGGGAAGAGGCTCTAACTTTCTTGTTCCTTATTCATGCTGGATGGAATACAGATAGCACTCCGTGCTTGGCGCCATCTTGGGCCAAGATAGAACTCATATATTGGGGATGGCAGAGCATCTGCACAGAAGACCCTAGTTATCAACCCTGGACTGATACCTCCAGACTTCATTTATGAGACAGACATAGGTGTCCATTTTGATTAAACCAATTATTTTGGATTCTCAGTAGCTATGAACTTAATCCTGTTTAGAACTGCCCTGTCTTCATTTCATTTGCTGTTTCTGGGATAGAATGCCCTGACAGAAGCAATTTAAAGGAGAAAGGATTTGTTCAGTCACACTTCACAGGGCAGGGAAGTCAGAACATCGGGAACTTGAAGCGGCTGGTCACCTTACGTCCACAATCAGAAGAACGGAGCAGTAGATGCTAGTGTTCCACTCTCTCTCTCCCTCCCTCCCTTCCTCCCTCTCTCCCTCCCTCCCTCTCTCCCTCTCCCTCCCCCATCTTGTCATACTGCTCTGTGTAGAATGGCAGCACAGTGCTGAGCAGAAGGGGCAGGAATGGATATTTTTATCCTGCTCCTGATCTTAGGGTATTTCACCCAGTCTTTCACTATTATTAAGAGGTTAGTTGTATGTTTTCATGTGTTGAGAAAGTATCATCCATTTCTATTTCACCAAGTTTTTTTTTTTTTAAATTATGGACTGATATTAGCTTTTGACAACTGTCTATGTATCTATTGAGATAATTACATTTTCTGTTTTAGCTTGGTAATATTTTGAATTACATTCATTTTTGAGTGTTAAACTAACCCCACATTCTTAGATAATTGTACTTGGTAATGACATCCTTTATGCGCATTATTAGATGAATTTTGAAATATTTTGCATAAAATTTTAGAATTTAGCTTCTTAAGTTTATAACTATGACTTTCTTATCCCTGATAATATTCTTTCCTGTGTGATTTCCATTTACTAATATTACAGCAACTCCCGCTTTTCTTTAATTAGTGTTTGCATGTAAAAATTTCCAGTTCCTTTTCCCTTAATATGTTTGTTTGCTTGTTTGAGGCAGGGTCTCATTTTGCAGCCCTGGCTGGCTGGGAACTCATAGAGATCCACCTGCCTCTGCCTCCCAAGTTCTGGGATTAATGGCATGTGCCACCATGGGCTATTTGCTACTCTAACATTATGATTCTATTTATTTCCTTTGTACACTTGTAAACTGTAAGTGTCTGCTTTAATATTCTTAGATTTAGGACAGAGAGTGAGAGCTTGCTTGCCCTCAAGCACGAGGATCTGAATTCAATCCTCAGAACCCTTGTGAAAAGGCTGGGCATGGTATGGTTTTGGGCTTGTAATCCTATTGATGAGGTGGCAGAGACAGGCAAAGCCCAGGGGCTCATTGGCCAGCCAGTTGTAACCACTTGTTTTACTTGTGTTTTCTTTGCTCCATTTGTTTCTGTTTCCCTTTTCCTTCTTTGAATTATATTATTGAAACAGGGAGAAAGAATGTCCCCTAGAGGGTTCTTAGTCACATTCATTAAAGAATTTAAGAATGGACCCAAATGGAAGCTTTTGCAATTTTATTAGAATTTTAAAGCAAAACCCTCAGGGCAGGCAAGCTGGTGATCCTGGCAACTGCCTTGAAGAGGAGAATGGAGGGAGGAAGAAAGAAAGCCATGAAGCCATGCAGGTTTAGAGCCCGCGTGGAGGTCAGACACGTGGCTGACTGGCAGCTTCATGGCCGGGAGAAGGAAGCTTTAGAGATAGTAAAGAAATAGAAGATGCTAGGGGCAGCCCAAAGCTTTAAAGAAAGCATGTTTAGAAAAGGGGTATGAAGACGAAAAGGAGAAATTATGCTTTTCTGAAAAATTCAGAAAAAGCAGGCGGACTTACAGAGACCTACATATCTGTGGCTGGCTGGAGGAATTCTGTGCTAAGAGGCTGGATTCCAGGCAGGAAAAATTCGCCATTTCATTAATGCACTAGGTATTCTGCCCATCTGTTTAGCATAGCTTAAGGGGTGGTCCTATGACCAGGTTATTGACCAGTGAAACCGGAAAGGTGGGTCTTTCAATAGACTAAAGATTTTATAGTCTTGACTGGTTAAACCTATGGGGCTATTTGCTACTCTAACATTATGATTCTATTTATTTCCTTTGTACACTTGTAAACTGTAAGTGTCTGCTTTAATATTCTTAGATTTAGGACAGAGAGTGAGAGCTTGCTTGCCCTCAAGCACGAGGATCTGAATTCAATCCTCAGAACCCTTGTGAAAAGGCTGGGCATGGTATGGTTTTGGGCTTGTAATCCTATTGATGAGGTGGCAGAGACAGGCAAAGCCCAGGGGCTCATTGGCCAGCCAGTGCAGCCTACTTTGCTGGTTCCAGACTAGTGAGCAAGCCTGTCTCAAAAAAAAGTGGACAGCACCTGAGAATGACACCTACTTAACTTTTGAATGTGTCGTTTAACTAGCAACTACCATCACGTTTGCTAGGTCTCATGTTAGTGCTGCTCTTTGTTGGTTCTGGTTTGGTTTCACTGATTTATTTTTCTACTTTTATGCATATGGATGCTGGTTCTACTGTTTTTGTCACAGAATACCAAATTGCCCTTCCAAGAGTTTCATTTATCTGGTCACTACCAGAACACGAGTGTCTGTTTCCCCCCTACCTGCTAGCACCAGGTTCTGTCAGTCTCTAAGCTTTGCCAATCTCATAGGCTGAAACCAGTGACTCCTGCAACTGATATTTATTGAACAGAAGCAACTATCAGTGCAGTGACAGATGGTAGCAATTCTGTGGTGCTGAGGAAGCCACAGTGGCTGCCCTCATGATGTCTGTAACCTTGCGATGTATTTATCAGCATTTTCAGGGCTTACTGGGGTATCCATTCTCAAGCTTATTGGCCATTTATGGTTCTTTTTTTTTCCTGTATACTGCCTACTAACACCTAATCAGAAATTTTAAGTGCATTGCTTGTATTTCAAAAAATTCATTTGTAAAAGCTATTTTTTTACTATGAATAGATATGTATTTTCTTTTGTTTAATAATAAAATGTTTTGTGATGATCAAGGCTGATTGAGATATTCTGTATGAAATACACAAAAATTCAATAAAAATATGTTTTGCAAACAAAGTCATTTTCTTTAAAATAAAAC